TATATATATATATATATATATATATATATATATATATATATATATATATATATGTAAAACTCACCTTCGACAAAGTTCATCCTCTTGATGCTTCCAACACCACCATCACCTTCAACAGTCTCAATGTTGTTAACAATTTGTGGCAACAACGTGGGAATAAGGTTGTCTACGTCAAGAACCAAAGCTTTGAATAACCTAGTTGGGGCAAATGTGGTTGATGCCTCATGAGTATAGGTAGTGACACCCATAATGTTAAGAGAAGCAAAAAATAAAAGAGGATAATTAAGATGAATTTGGAATAAGAAGTGAATAGAATGGTTTTTGATGTGTGGGATATAATGATGTTTTAGATGGTATTTATAGGAGATAAAAAAAAGAAGAGTGAACGAGTGTTTAGACTATTAGTCAATCAGCAACCTTAGTTTTATCTTAATTTCAACATTTCAACATTCAAAGGTGTCCCTTCTTGACATTTGTATCCATTTTTCTAGGTGTTATTTTCCTACATCCTCTTTAAAATTAATTCCGTTAGTTGTACCGTAAGAGAACTTCATGACATATGGCCTATGTAAGAGTGGATAATATTGAAAAGCCAATTCTTGGATTGGTGTATCACTCTATTGTATTGAATAAATAATTCTCTGCACAATGTAGCTGATATGTACAAATTATCCTATGTACTATACCTATATGTGTCTTCCTACAAATTCTACTCCACTAACAATATTTGTCCTATTACAAAATAAATTATATACAAAGAAATAATTGATTACAGCTGTAGTGATTCTAGAATATTCTATCCTCTTTTCCCTTTAGCAATCGAAGACCGGGAGCTTTTCTTCTCTTCGTCAACAACCTAACAATGAGGTTTTTGCTGACACATTAAAGCATCTTTTTATTTAAGCATCTAATATCCATTCAAAATTTACTGGCCGGATTAATTTCGATTTTTATTGTTGTGAGTCCATAAGAGGGAAACACTCCTTGCTAGAAGAAGATTGTCCGTTCTCACTATTCAAACCTGAAACCTTTGTTAAGAGGGGAGGATAAGGATATGGTTTCATTTCATATCTGCTGTTTTTTATTATGTATAAGTTAGACCCTTATGGGGCCATATATAGTTTGGCTTTACTTAGTCAAGATTTCATAAGACGGTGTTTGGCTTAGTTAAGATGTCGAAGTCTTGACTATGAGTGCAAGCCAAACCTCGTATTTTCTATGAAATATTTTAATGTGTCAACATCTAAGCCAAATATCGTCTTACGAATTTTTGACTAATTAAGTAAAGCAAATTGGTAATGTGAAAGCAGGAATTTTGTATGCTCTCATGAGTCACTTTCCCTACTAATAATATTACTACTAATGTCAGAGATGGACTCAGGATTTGAAAGTGGAGGGTAGGGGTGTACATAGGTCGGGTTGTTTCGAATTTTCAATTATCAAATCAAACCAATGGTATCGAGTTTTTAAATTTATAAACCAAACCAAACCAACAAAGTCCAATCTCGATTTTTCTCAGGTTTATCGAGTTTTTTCGGATGTTCGGGGTTTTTTTGGGGAAGTCTTCATAGCATAAAATATGTAACTTGTGCTCCAAATATTTCTTTAAGTCCTAGTTAAATACAACTATATAATGTATGTTTCAAAAAACTAACACAATAATATGAGATAAGTCATACCATTATACTAAAATATTTAATAGCAAAGATAAAATAATAAAATTACATAAAAATAAATATTGCTAATTAATAACCCATAATAAAAATTAATATAATCTAAAAATACTATATGGAGAGAAAATCGAACCAAACAAAACACTCAAAGTCCAGTTGTATCCCCTCAAATCGACCAATGTAACATTGAATCTTAGAGTGCCAATCAAAATATATACATGTTATTTAAGATATATGCACATATTTTTTTAAAAGTTATCAGACTACGATTACACCTCTACCCTAAGGGTACGTAAGTCCACCTTTGACTAAAGATCATGTTCGATAGCATAGAATATTATTAGAATAAGATAAACTAAGAGCATTGCTACAACTAGATATATAAAAGATTAGACCTTTTAACTAGGGATTATAAATTAATGTTGTATTATCTTAAATGTTATAAATAATTATCATAAATGACGCTCTATGAGTTGTCTATTTTAACTAACCAAACGTAACTCTAAAATTTACACATATCAGTAATCAACTAATAATCATATTATATTTTCTTTTATTAGGTTCTTTTTGTATTCGAATCCTAGGGAGGGTAGTGTGTACGCAGACCTTACCCCTACCCTTCAAAGTATTGGTTAGGTCATGTGTTCGAATCCTTTTTGTCACGACCCGAAATTTCCACCTTCGGGACCGTGATGAGGCCTAACATTTCACTTGCTAGGCAAGCCAATGTTAGAATAATTTTAGCCATTCTTAACAATTCTTTTTAATCAGTAATAAAGAAACCCAATAACTGGAATAAAGTCTGAATTAAAGTAAATAAACCAAAATAATAACGATGTCTAAATTTTATCCCAAAACTGGAGTTACAAGTGCACAAGCTTCTAGAATAATACAAATAAGGGTCTGAATAAAATAATGTTGTCTGAAAGAAAGCACACAACTAAGATAAAGTGGAAGGGGACTTCAGAGCGGCGAACGCCGTGCAGCTATACCTCAAGTCTCCTCTGAGTAGGTGAATCCGGGCAAGTCTACAATACGCCGTTGGGACCAACTCCGATATCAGCACAAAAAGTGTAGAGTGTATTGTATGAGTACAACCGACCCCATATACTCTGTAAGTGTCGAGCCTAACCTCGACGAAGTAGTGACGAGGCTAAGGCAGGTCGCTTACATTAACCTATACGTAATAATAATAATAATAATAATAATAATAATAATAATAATAATAATAATAATAATAATTATTATTATTATTATTATTATTATTATTATTATTATTATTATTATTATTATTAT